TGTGGGCTGTGTGTGTGAGCTGTGAGCATCTCAAGCGCACAAAGCAGACTGGACTGACGACCCAGCTCTTTCTGGACCATGCACGTAGGTGTCCCTTTCGCTGGTTCTGCCTTTGATCATCACACAGCACATGAGATGGGCGTGGCCTTCCAAGATGTCAGTCAACCCGCTGACCTGCAAGACATCAGGAAGCTAGACTCAACCCCCTGAAACCTGACCCCTTGCCTCATTTAAATGGCTTCTCCCCAATAAAACCTGGTTCAGGCCTGCTCTTTCTCTTTCTTGCCGGCCTTGCCTCCTTTGTCAGAGCTGGGTCAGAGGAGCTGTCACAGAACCCAAAGAAAAAGGCCTTTCTCTGTCTCTGTGTGATTAGTTCACCCGTGGTGACCCTGATGGTTTAGTTGTGTGTCACCATACTGCCAGTTTCCCCTGAGGATTCTCTTTTCTCATTCATTGTCCTACTTTCCCATCCTGGTGGATTTGGGTGAACATTTTAGTAAAAAATACTTTCAGATGATAAAACCTTCATAATCAGCCTGTTTTTCTGGGAATTTGCTTATTTATATTTGCTGCCTTCTTTGAAAGGGTAGATCTAGGGGGGCCCCACATTTGATTTTGTTTAATTAGGGTCCCAGCTGGAAACAGCATGCTTTAAAGAAGCTTGGGTTGTAACCCTCAGGTCTGAAAACCCTAAGTAGACGTGAGAGAGCTATGAATCCGGGCCGTTCAACAGCAGCCATGGCCAGAGCAGAGCACAGCCACCGCAGGGCCACGGTGCCAGAGCAGAGCACAGCCACCGCAGTCCAGGGAGCTGTCTCCTCATAAATATTCCTGCCTGTACTTCCCACTGACCAAAGCTAAGAGGACAAGGAAGCCACGGTAATAGCCCATAGAGGTCAGCATGCTGGGCACCAGCGGGACAGGAAGGGTGGATGACAGACCTACGTGCATGCCACCTCCCAGGTAGGCTGTCTGAACAAAAAGGGTGCTTAGGGAGAGTCGACATTTTCCTTTTCTTCCTGGTCCCCTCACCAGGTTCATCCTAGCCCCTATCCCCAGAGAGCATTTTTAATCAAGGACACAGAATAGCATTCCCCAGGACATAGTTTTTACTAGTTTCTAAATTCAACTTGTGAGGTTAGTTCTGAGTCGCAACAAAGCACTATTTCTAGTGTTCTATGGTATTTAAGGGAGCTGATTATTCAATTTGCTTTGCTATTTTATGGCAAGCTGCTTCTCCCCAAGCTTTTTCTCAAAGTTATAATTGTAAATTACACTCCGCGGCAGATCTGTTTCTAAACACAAGGAAGGCCACGTCTGCAAGACCATGTTAGAAAAAGACTAGGATTAGAGCACTCTACAGCACACCTCCAACTCAGCTGCAGAAATTGAGGGTTTTACCCACAAGTAATCTTCTGATTTTTGGGTCGTGTCAGGCTTAATTGGACTAGTTATTTCTGGAGAATAGACGTCACTTGTGAAAATGGACAAGTAAGGCGTAGATTTGCCGATGGAAGAGGAGGCTGAGGCTGAGTCAGTCGGAAGCAGAACTGCCTCTGCTGCCATGGTGTGGAGGCTGTAAGGTGTCTTTGTAAGCAGGGGAATCAATATTCATCTTGGTTTTGCCAGTTGAGCACCTGAACTTCCCCTTCCAGTGCTGGGGGATCTGCTGTTGTATGAATCATGGCCAGAGACCCATCTAACCTCCTGCTGTGGAGGCCAGAAGGTCACATGCCTGAGCCCTGGCAGCCTAACCTCTGGCCTGGGATGAAGACCAACCCTTAACCAAAACCATGCTCCTGACTTGACTCTGGAGTAGGTGGCACAAAGAAGCAGAGACCTACATGTGAGAGTTAGAGAGGGAAAAGGAAGAAAAAGTGGGGGGGGGCAGGTCTCATGGAAATCAAGGGAAGAGCAATGAAATAGAGGAAAGGGACCGGGGGAGGGAGGAAGGGGGAATACTGGGAATGATATTGGCCAAACTATATTGTTATATCGTGTGCATGTGTGAATATGTAAGAACAAATCCCACCATTCTGTACAACTGTAATGCACTAATAAAAACGTGGGGAAGAGACCAGGGTTGTGGCTCAGTGGTAGAGGGCTTGCCTAGCGTGTGGGAGGCACTGGGTTTGATCCCTGGCACCACACAAAAATAAACAAGTAAAACAAAGGTATTGTGTCCATCTATGACTATGATAATATATTAAAAAAATATATATATATTTTAATATGGGGAAAAAGAGAAGCAGAGACAGTTGAACATGTTCCTTCTGGTGACATGGTGACAGCATGATGGTAGCATGGTGGTGACGAGTGAATTGCACCTGTTTGATCACAGTGAGGAAAGCTAGGCTGCCTTAAAGGAGCTTCTGAGCCATCTAGAATGCAAGAGTGCCCACGCCAAGGTGGGACAGCGTGAAGCTGAGAGCCTTGCTGCCCTCTGAATAAGCCACCATGCAGACATGCCCGTGTCAGCTATTTTAGAAGAGATTTACCAACATAAATGTGTGCTTTTCAGTAGCCGTGGGACCTAATCCCAGATCTGCCTCGGCCACATCCTGTCACCTCCCCCTCTTTTCTGTTCCCATGTACTGTTCACATTCCCATCTCAGGACCTTGGCCCTCACCGCTCCTTTTTCTGGTGGCCTCTTCCTCCAGTTATTCCCATGTGGCCTGTTTCATTTCTTTCTGGTCGGCTCAGAAGCTTCCTGCTCAGAAAACCATTTCCAGTTCCTTTGTCCAGATGATCCACGGGCCAGCAGCACGCACCTGCTCCCCGGGGCTCTTCCCGGCCCTCAGCCCTGCCTGGTGTTATATGCCTGTTTGCTGCCTGCCATCCTCTGGATGAATGTTCTAAGCTTTTCCATGAACTCTGCTTGCTTCCTAATCTGCAGTCGCCATTTCTTCTCAGTGCAAGAGGCATTTTTCATTCTGCAGCCTGAGAACAGCAGATATTACATTTTTTCCATCAAGATGATCTTGATTCTTGTCAGCAAAGACAGATCCTTGTTTTCTCAAACTCACTGCCAAATGATAGAGGCTTCAGGCCATTCCATAGGTCCCCTGAATTAAGCGACTGGTGTTCACAACAGCATGGGCCAGCTGATGGCTTCTGCTTCAGGACATGATAAAGGCTGCTTTCAGGGAAGGAAGGCATTATTTATCTTCCTGTCCTGTTTTCCTTCAGTACACTGCCCTGCATAAAACAGAGGCCTAGCATATCTTGGTAAAATGACTGCGTATTCTTGAACCTTGACCAGTCATAATTTTATTTCTTGGTGAGGGGCAAACATTAGAAGGGTCTTGAACTATTAATTACCCCAAAGCAAAATTTTCTTTTTCCCTTTTATCTAGGTGATGTCTTAAAACCATTTTAAGTGATTTGAACTGCTAATGATTAATCTGTGCTTGTGAGTTGTGCTCATATTTTTTTCCCCTATTTGACAAAAGATGGGGTATTTAACACTGAATCCTAAAAGCAATATCATTCTTATTTTTAATGACTCTATGTCAGCAACTGTCTTGTAAGTAAATCCAGATTGAAATTTTTCTGATTCATAAACATGCAAATTATGTAAGCTTCTAGTTTTTCCAGTTCCTTTCTTCCACACATTTTTAAAGATAGGAAGAGGGCTTAGTAAGGAACTCTAATGGTGACACATTCGTTCACGACAAGAGTCTAATAATCTAATGTTTTTGTGTTATGAGCTCCAAATTAATAAACAAAACCCTTGCGTGGTAGGCTCATTAATGACTTTAAGCCAGTGAAACTGAACCAGATTCTAAGAGCCAAAACATAAACCCTGGTTTGTGGTCAAATTAGGTTCCTTTTCTTTCTTTTTTTTTTCATTATGTTTTGATTATTGCATCGTAATTATTCATAATCGTGGAGTTTATTGTGACATAGTTGTGCAGGCACACCACATAATTTGCTCCATCTCATTCCCAGAGCTTCCCCTTCTCGCCAGGTTCCCTGTTCAACACAAGTTGCTGTTTGGGGTATAGTTCTGGGCTGGATGCTATCTTGCTTTTTGCACTGAAATATTCTACTTCATTTTGACAATGTTCTCCAACCGATGGACCAATATAGCAGGAGATACTCCTGAAGGGAACACAGAGGATTTCAGTCATGGAAGACCTCCCTTCCACAAGGATCATTCAGTCCTTGAATCTCTTCTCTTAACACACTAGTCCAGTGTTCAGCCAGTAACAGAAACCCTCCAAGGTTGGAGCCTTCTGCTCCATTTGAAAAACCCCCCTTCATCTTCGAGGGTTTTATTTATTTATTTGAGACAGGGTTTCACATGCTGCCCAGGCTTGGTCTTGAGTTGGTGAGCACAGGGGATCTACCTGCCTCAGCCTCCCAAGTGTCTATGACTACAAGCATTTGCCACCATGCCTGGCTTCTTATTTTGATGGCTAGAAAGTTCTTTTCTAATGTTTTGAAACTCTCACCTTTACAACTTGGATCTAATGATCTGGTTTTGTTTGTTTGTTTGTTTTTCAGAAAACTACCCACCCAACAAGGCCTTAACAATCTCAGCCTGTGGTATTTGAATGTTTGTTTTAAATTTAGCCTGATAACAAAAAGTAACACATCATTGCAATAGCTGCTGTTCATTAAGGATCTATGACAGGTCTATGACTTCAAGGTCCCCTTGAGTGTACATTTTCTAGATGTCTGATGTAAATACATAGCCAGATGCAAAAAATAGTAGACATTTAGAATATAAAAACTACAGCTAATATTTCTTGAGTATTTGGTGGGTCAAGTATTCTTAGGAGTTTAAAAATGTTATTTAAATCTCATGGTTTCAGGATGTAGAGACTATCATTATTCTCATTTCCCAGATGAGGTCAATGAGACAGCCTAATTGCAGAGGTCACATGGGTAGTGACAAGTTTGACTTTTAATCATGGCATGAATTGCCTCTGAAAGAAGTCCAGGAAAATAAAAGGAGGATGGTGTCTGCCCTCCTGGAGCTTCCAGTCGGAAGATGCCTCCAATGTGAGCACATAAAGGAGTACTCAAGCCAGGCAGTACTTAAGCCAGGAGTACTCAGCCAG